AAATGTGTAAATGCGAAGATCGTTGACCATTCAATAATGTATGGTATCAAATCCTTTATAAAAAAAAGAAAGTTTATCAGTCTGCCAGCTAGATGGTAAGTGCGTGGAATTTCAACTTGATAATATTTTTTAATATTAAAAAAATTAAAATATATTTTATGTGGTTATCAAATGGATTTCTCAATCAAAAATCTTAATTACTCAGAATCGTTACATAATTGAAATTTACTTATGGTTTTGTCTGATCTGATTACCCTAATGATATTTGTCAGAAGAGTGATGCTGAGCTGTTGTCCATTTAGTAAAATTTTTATAAAATTAAATAACTTAAAATTCAATTAATATAAACCGTCCAATCTTACCTAAATAATGCCAACCGTTCAATAATAATTTTTTTTCAACTTATAAAAAATAAATAGAAATAAACAATATAATCTTTCTATCTTTTTATATATATCTTCACAAATCTCTCTTCACTCGCAATACATTTTACATGCACAAATAAAGACACAGTTGAGGAGGTTGTTTGTTTGTCTATGAACTTTTGAAACACTATTGATCTTGTTTCATAATCACATTACTTTCTACCTTCATTCCTTGTCTCAGATCGGTGTCTCATTCTAATAAGGTACATTTCAATTTTGTTCATATTATTTTTCTCTTCTCATTCATTTTTCAATAAAAAATTATCGTCTTTTTTATACTTAAAAATCATATTGTCTAAAAACACACTCGTTTACTCTTTTGGGTGTTACAAAAATGGTACTTTGACGAACTACATTTGTAAAACAAAGGCTGATTTTGTGTTGAGTTGGTTTGGTTTGACCTCACTCACCCTTTTAATGTTATGATGTTTTCTTGTGTTTTACCAGTGACACTGAATTGGTTGCATGCAAATTTTAAATGGGTCATGTTTCTATTTTTTCTTCAATTTGTTCATTGATAATTTCCTGTTTTGAAATTTGGACAGGCATTGTTATCTTTTGTTTTTTCCTTGTCAACTTTTTATTAGGAAAAGAGTTTTGATATTCTAATCAAAGGTTTTTTTTTTTTGTTTTTTTTTAAATGTGGGGTTTAGGATTTTGATTGAAATTCTGTTGAATGCTGGTGTGTTTCATTGAGCCTGCATGCAAGGGGTCAATTTTCTTAATGCCCTTTTGATGCATAGAAATTGAAGATTTTGTTTGTTTTGTTTCTAATGTTTTCTAATGTTGTCGATAACAACGCGTAATCGGGAATTCAGCTAGAGGTGTGTTTCATCAAAGCCTGCATGCAAGGGAAGGGTTCAGTTTTCTTAATACCCTTTTGATGCATAGAAATGGATGATTTTGTTTGCTTTGTTTTTTAATGTTTTCTAATGGTGTTGATAATGGTTTTCTGAATGCTCCTGGATTCAATTTCTCTGTCCCTTTATTTCTTGTTGTGTTCTTCATATAGACAAACAAAAGTACAAAATCTTATTTCTCCTCACATGACCTAACCAAATATAGACATTGTTTTTCTAGAGAGTTTATTTGTTGATTTGAGTTTATTTGCGGACATAAACACTTCTGAGACTTTTTGAGTGAGCTTGTAAAAACAACTTATGCATGTTCATAAGTTGTTTTACTTTTAGTTTTTCAAAATAGTTTAGTTGAACAACTTATGGGTTATATAAAAACAATTTGACTATATTTTATGTTTTGTTATATATATTACTTGTCTATTTAGTTATAAAATTAAGGGGAGTGGATTCCTCTAATATGAAAATCCATTGCCATTTTACTCTTTAAAAAGTTGATAAAATATACTATTAAAGAGGAGATTGGTTGTTAGTGGTTATGATTAAAACTATTAAAACTATATGAAAAATTAATAAACAATGTATTCATTTCAAAAAATAAGAGGGTTTATTAGCGTGCCAGCTGGATACTTAGAAATGTCAGAAAATTTTATCTATTACTGATAAAAGCTAAATTGATTGAGATTTCATTGTTAACCATCTGAGATTTCATTTATTGTTAACCATTTGATATTATTGCAACGGTGTTAATTAATCAATTCTGTGAATTTTTGGAATTTCCACATGATAATATTTTTATAATTATTTAAAATATATTTTATTTAGCTGCCAATTGAATTTCTCAATAAAAAAATTTATTTATTGTTGGTGGTTTGATCGAATTACCTTTAATTGTGTAGACAAGAAGAGTGATGTTTGACTATTATCCATTTTCCTAAGATTTTTATAAAATTAAATAATTTAAAAATTCAATTAATATTAACCGTCGAATGTGAAGATTGTCGACCTTTCAATAATAATATTTTTTCAATTAATAGAGAGTATATTGTATGGAATTCCTGAGAGGGATTATTAGCTGTCAGCAGCTGAATGGTTAGAAATGTCAGAAAATCTTATCTTTACTGATAAAAGTTAAATAGACTGAGATTTCATTGTTAACCATCTAAGATTTCATTTATTGCTAACCATATGATATTATTACAAAGATGTTATTTAATCAATTTTGTGAATTTCTGAAATTTCCACGTGATAATATTTTTATAATAAATTAAAATATATTTTATGTAGATACCTATTGGATTTCTCAATAAAAAAATTTATATTTTGTTGGTTGTCAGATGGATTTACCTTTAATTGTGTATGCAAAGAGTGGTGTTTGAGAATTATCCATTTCACTAAGATTTTTATAAAATTAAATAATTTAAAATTTAATTAATATTAACCGTCTAAATGTGTAAATGCGAACATCGTCGACTGTTCAGTAATAATATTTTTTCAACTAATAAATAATGTATTGTATGAAATCCTTTATAAAAAATAAGAGAATTTATGAGTCTACCAAAAAATAAGAGAGTTTATGAGTCTACCAGTTAGATTGTAAGTGTGTGAAATTTCCACGTGATAATATCTTTTAATATTAAATTAATTAAAATATATTTTATGTGGTTCGTCAAATGGATTTCTCAATTAAAAATCTTAATTACTTAAAATCATGAGATAATTGAAATTTATTTATACTTTTGTCTGATCTGATTACTTTAGTGATGTTTATTAGAAGAGTGATGTTGTTGTCCATTTAATAATTTTTTTATAAAATTAAATAGTTTAAAATTCAATTACGATTAACTATATGAATAATAACTTAAATGTGTGAATGGAAGATAGTTGATGGATCAATAATAATATTTTTTCAACTTATAAAAAATAAATAAAAATAAACAAGTGAGCATATAATCTTTCTCTCTTTTTATATGTATCTTCACAAATCTCTCTTCACTCGCAATACATTTTACATGCATAAACAACATACACAGTTGCGGAGGTTGTTTGTCTATCCACTTTTGAAACACTGTTGATCTTGTTCCATAATCTCATTGCTGTCTTCATTCATTTGTTATTTCAGATCGGTGTCACATTCTTATAAGGTACATTTCAATTTTTGTTCATATTATTTTTTTTCTCATTCCTTTTTTTTCATTAAAAATTATCGTCTTTTTCGTACTTAGAAATTATTTTATCTAAAAACATACTCGTTTACTGTTTTGGTTATTAAACATTGTTATAAAAAATTGAACTTTGACATACTACATTTGTAAAACAAATGCTGGTTTTGTGTTGGGTTGGTTTGATCTCACTCACGCTTTTATTTTTATGATGTTTTCTTGTGTTTCATCACTGACACTGAATTCGTTGCATGCAAATTTCAAATGGGTCAAGTTTCTATTTTTCTCCAATTTGGTTTTGAATTTTGGACATGCATTGTTATCTTTTGTTTTTCCCTTGTCAACTTTTTATTGGGAAAAGGGTTTTGATATTCTAATCAAAGGTTTTTTTTGTTGTTTTTTTTGAAATGTGGGGTTTAGGATTTTGATTGAAATTCTGTTGAATGCTGGTGTGTTTCATTGAACCTGCATGCAAGGGGTCAATTTTCCTAATGCCCTTTTGATGCATAGAAATTGAAGATTTTGTTTGTTTTGTTTCTAATGTTTTCTAATGTTGTCGATAACAACGCGTAATCGGGAGTTCAGCTAGAGGTGTGTTTCATCAAAGCCTGCATGCAAGGGAAGGGTTCAGTTTTCTTAATACCCTTTTGATGCATAGAAATGGATGATTTTGTTTGCTTTGTTTTTTATTGTTTTCTAATGGTGTTGATAAAAACGCGAAATCCAGAGTTCAGCTAGAGGTAAAGTCTGGTCAAAGATTGTTCGAACATTGATCAAATCTGGTACTCGAGATTGATTTAACCTCACAGCTCAGTCCCTTGTTAAAAATAAGTTTTACAATGTACATTAATGTCGTGTTTCTGAATGCGTGTGGATTCAATTTCTGTGTCCCTTTATTTCTTGTTGTGTTCTTCAACCAAAACTGAACAAACACAATAGTACCAACAAAATACAAAATCTTCTTTCTCCTCGCATGACCTAACCAAATATAGACATTGTTTTTCAAGATAGTTTATTTGCTGATTTGTGCTTATTTGCGGACATAAACACTCTTGAGACTGTTGGAGTGAGCTTATGAAAACAACTTATGGCATATGTTCATAAGTTGTTTTACAACTTATTTCTTTTAGTTTTTCAAAATAGTTTACGAGAACAACAACTTATAGTTTATATAGAAACAATTTGCCTATATTTTATCTTGTTATAGAAATAATCTTATACATATACTTATATGATAAACACTTATGAGAGGAACGCTAAATTAAGTTGTTTATCCAAATAGGTCTCGATTTTTCTTTGCTCTATCTATTAGTTTCCAGTTTGTGATTGAGAGGGAGAAGTAATGAGGCATAGAAGATTTGATTTGACAGTTCATTTTCCTCTTTGTTTTCACTGGGTTACAACTCATGCTAATTTCACATTTTGTTTTTGTCAGGGTCTGATCAAGGTTCATATGATTGAAGATTTGGATATGTTGATTTAAGTCTTTGGTGGTAAAAGGTTATCAAATTTGGGGTGAATTCTCTAGTAATTGCTTGCTTAACATCATCAAAACTATGGGGTCTCAAGTTATCGTTGATAACAATAACGAAAACCATTCGCAATTCCAGCCTTTGGTGAGGCAAAATTCGATGTACAATCTCACCCTTGATGAAGTTCAGAGTCAATTAGGCGACTTGGGAAAGCCGCTAAGCAGTATGAACCTAGACGAGCTTCTTCAAAATGTATGGACTGTCGAGGCAAACCAGTCCATTCAAATGGACAACGCGAACACACCTCAAACCGGACAAGTTGTTTTGCAAAATCAACCTAATCTCCCTTTAACCGCTGCGCTAAGCAAGAAAACCGTTGACGAGGTTTGGAGAGACATCCAACAAAGCAAAGATCATGAGGAGGTGATGTCTCAAGAGAGACAATCTACTTTGGGGGAGATGACATTAGAGGACTTTTTGGTGAAAGCAGGCGTTGTTTCGGTTGCACCTTCTAATAGAAAGAATATTAACAGTCCTAAAGTTGACGCTGTTGATTCAAGCCTAGTGGTACCGCAGTTTGTTCCGCATGGTCCATGGATGCAGCAGTATGCACAGGCACATTATCAGCATCCACAACAAAATGTGTTGCCAACTTATGTTACAAGCCAGATATTAGCACAGCCAATGCACATGGTGACAGGTTCTCCAATGGATGTTGTTCCATATGCAGATAGTCAGGTGGCATCATTGGCTTCGCCTGCGATGGGAAACTTATCAGATTCAAAGAAATCAGGTCGGAAGCGCGGCTTACCAGATGATGTAGCTGTGAGGACAGTCGAGAGGAGGCAGAAGAGGATGATCAAGAATCGGGAATCTGCTGCCCGTTCAAGAGCAAGGAAACAGGTGACATTTTCCTATTTATTTCACGCCTTTGTTACCAAAGCTCTTATCATTTAGATTAAGCATTTCTGTTAAGTAAAAATATTTGTTCTGAATCATTATTATCATTAGGCCTACACAACTGAATTGGAGATCAAAGTCACGCGTCTCGAAGAGGAAAATGAAATGCTGAGAAAAGAAAAGGTTAAATTCTGCTTAAAAGTAAAACTTTACTGGTTTTTGATGCCTGCATGCTTACTTGACCTTTCTTAATTTTTCTGTTACTCAATTTGCAGGAACTTTGCAACATGTTAGCAAATGTTCCACCGCCCGAGCCAAAATGTGAGCTTCGTCGTGTATCTTCGGCGTCATTTTGATTAATGTGTGTCTATATATGTAGAGCTTTGTAGATATGAACATCATCATGGGATTCTCAGTTTTGTTTATTCTGAGTTGAAAAACTACCTAGCTGTTTGTTGTATTTGCATTCAATGGTTTATTTACTATTATTATTATTATTATTATTATTATTATTATTATTATTATTATTATTATTATTATTATTATTATTATTATTATTATTATTATTATTATTATTATTATTATTAAATTGGTTTATAATTATTTGAGTGGTAAAATATTTCTGGACAAACCTTTTGTAATGCCATGGTCTTTTCTCAAAGTATTTGGTCCATACAGGCTAATGTCATAGTGTTTCACTCGAAGCACTTCGTACTTACACATTTCATGTTTGGGGACAATATAATTACATAGTTTTTTTTTACTCGAAACACATTTTCCTTACACACCTCCTAGTTGGGAGTCTAATGCACATTTTATGTTCGGGGACAATATAATTAAATAGTTTTTTTTTTTAGTCTAAACACATTTTCCTTACGCACCTCGTATTTGAGAGTATGTATACTTGTATATTTACCTTACGCACCTCGTATTTGAGAGTATGTGTACTTGTATATTTATTTTGCCCGTGTATAACATTTGGGCTCTATAAGATCGACCTTGTAATCAACAATTTTGCTGATACTTTGAAAAGTATTTCCTTAGGTTATTAATATAAATAAAAAAATGATTTTAAATTTTAGTCACTATTATAAATAAAAAGTCATTAATTTTTGGATTAATTAATATTTGTATTACTATTATATCTTTCTTTAAGTCAACAACATTTAATGTAGTAGTTGATTCATCAAATATAACTAAGGATATTATAGTAAATTTTATTTTGATTAGACATGAAATCAAGAAAATTTATTGCACGTAACTAATTTTGCTAATTTGTATGAAAATAATTATTTTGACTTATAATTTTGACCGGAAAAAATACTTTATAAGAAATGGGTGGGTGTGAGCAGCCTTAAACAAGATCCGAGGAACCCACAGTTAAGAGGTAAGGGCGACTCACTTTAGAATTAAGGTCAGCATGACCATAAGTCAAGAGATCAGCTAGCTCGGTTAAGCTAACTCACATAATCATCCCATTAAGATGTCTTAAAACATAGATAAGACAATTAAAGAATGGTGAATGACAATATGTGGAGATTTGGACAAAAGGACTAGATCGTTATATTATTGTGATCATCTTATTAAGATGTCTTAAAACACTGAGACAAGACATTTAAAGAATGGTGAATTACAATTAGGCGTAGGAATAGGTTGGGTCGAGGTAGATTTTACCAAACCTGAGTTAGGCCTATTAAAAAATTAAAAGTTTAAGCTTGACCTGTGATCTATCATAGACTTATTTTTCAGCATGAACATGACCTTTTCTAAAGCCTATTAGTCTCTTAGCCTATTTAAAAAGCTTATATCATGTGAAGATATATAAATAAGCAATTCAACTAATGTTTTAATATATTAGAGAATCAAAAGTACAATAAGATTAAATGTTTGTTTACATTTATTTATTTGAGCTTACATGGTAGCATAAGTTTTTTGAGATTATTTGTTTGGGAGAACTTATGAAAACAATTTATGACATTATTCATAAGGTTTTTTCGACTTATTTTCACAAGTTCTTTAAGATAACTAAACTTTATTTTTGTATTTTAATATAAAGTACAAACTACAATATAAAAAATAATAAATTTATTCATATTTATTAAAATAGGGTGGTCTGATAGAATTAAAAGACTTTTTTATAGCCTATGGCCTAGCCTATTTAACTAAATAGGCTTATAAAAAAGCCTTAGTCTTTTCTAATTAAAAAAAAGCTTGGCCTTGGCCTGTATAGTTTAGGTCGTAGGCCTCTGTTAGTTGGTCTGACCTATTCTCACCCCTAATTACAATAACGATGAGGTTTGGACAAAAAGACTAGATCGTTATACTATTATGCGATCATAATCAGGACAATTTTACTAAAATCAACTTGAACTTTTACACAAGATCACCTTAAATAACCTTTTACAACATGAGTTTTTGCAAAGGATCCATCAAAACAACCTTTCACAAATATCTCCGATTTCATACAAATTCGGCTCAACAACCTTATACCAAATCGTTTATAGGTTTATCGTCATTAAAACTTTTAGAAGATATTACATGCACAACACATAGAATCACATTCTCCCCCTTTTTGATGACGACAATAGATCTCTTAGAGAGGTAGTAAAATAAAAAATTATAGATGAAAAGATTTAGAGTGTTTAAAGTCCTACTCATAGATAAAGAGAGTATATTCTACTCTTTTGGGAGTATACTTCTACCACTTTATCATTATCAAAAAAGGGGGTAAACATATAGATATAATTACAAAACAACACATATAACATATATATAACACACACGCGCACGCGCGCACACACACACACACACACACACACACACACACGCACACACACACACACACACACGCACGCACACACGCACACACACACACACCCACACGCACACGCACACGCACACGCACACACACACGCACACACACACACACACACACACACACACATATATATATATATATATATATATATATATATATCATATTCTTGCAGATAAATGAAAAAGAAATTAAATATGATATATTAAAAAAGTTTGATCACAAAACAAGAAGGGAAGAAACATAAAGCGTAACGATAAAAGAAATCAAGAAAACAAAGCAAAAATAGGCAAACAGAAAAAAACAAGAAGCTAAGGGTTGTTTCCAATCATTATCCTCAACAAATAACTCATGAGGAATATATACTCTGGTGATGGTCGAGCGATTTGCGAAGAAAGCAATTTGAACAGCCAAACGGTTTAGAGTCCCTGAGTTTTCTTCATGACTTATGTTTTCCTCTTCATGCCTCCTATTATTCTCTTGAGTGTTGGCTAGAATAACATTATGCATATCTTCAGAATGAGGAGGAGGAATCTCATAATCCAAATCTTTTAGGTTTGAAGGCCCTACTTGCTTATTTTCTTGTTGCTTAGGTTAAAAAGTTTTCCTTGCAACTTTAGGAGGGGCACTATGTGCCAGGACTTTCTATGGTCTTTGATCGACATCAGACTCCAGCTATGTTTTTCAATTTTGATGTAACTCTAAAATGCCACTTGGGTAGAAAAAAGGATATGTTCTTGGGAATTTGGAAGGATATTTTCTAGTATCTCATTTGTAATCTCTTGTGACAACTCTTATAAGACTATTTTTATGTAACTCTTTTGTATGTTATTTTTTGTGTGTCTACACGTCACTTTATTTTTTTCTTCTTCTTCTTGCTCATGTAAATTTGTTTATATTGTTTGAAGATTTGATTAATATTTATTAAGATTATGCATTTTGGTTTTCTTTGTTCATTATCCCACACACCAATATTCTTGGTTGGTTGATATTATTAGATTTAAAAAACAAAAAGGTTTTGTTCTGATTGAACCTTTCAATTTTACAATAGTAAATATTTATTCACATTGTTAATTGATACAATAACATAATGTACCCTTTAAATAAAAATTTATTTTCAAGCATTACTACGGAAAACACATTTCAAAATGGTTGAAAAAGAGATGCTATCATGCCCGATCAACCATTGTGATATAAGGGATAGTTGTATGTATAATACTTTCCACCACAGTCGTGCGACAGTGATTATAATTCAAGTAGTGCGCTATCTATCACAATGGTTACTTCAAAAAGTCGTTGTGATATCCTTTAATGCATAAAATTTAACAATTGTTATTCTAAGCAGCCGTTGTGATATATACACTGAATTTATTATAAATTATATGGAATACTTATTTCTCATTACTACTAAAAACACATATAACAATGGTTGCAGAAGACCTATAATAACGGTTGAACAACTGTTGTTATGTAGGATGCGGTTGTAAGTGGGTTATTTACAATCAGTCTATTATCTTTGGTAGTAAATTGGATAGCGTGCTACATACAATCCTAATTGTATTAAACAACCGTTGTTGCATGTCTTTTAATAAATTAAAAATACAGTAGAAGAACAAGAACAAAAAAGAAGAAGATGAAAAACAATAACAATACAACAACAACAATAACAACATTAACAACAAGAACAACACGAACAATAACAATAAAAATAACAAAAACAACAAAACAACAACAACAACAACAACAAAACAACAACATGTGGTTCTGGCATAATAGACTCTTTCATATTCTTCTAAAGCCTTTCGATTGTAGACAACACTGCATCTAGGATACGTTAGGAATTCTGATTTCATTTTATGGTAATGGACATGAAAACTTAGCAAGCTTTCGTCAGCTTTTGGGTAAACCATCTCCATCAGAACATCCTTCCTTCAGCTTCTCCCATTTCGAGCCTGTTGAGTTTGCTGATAAACCTCTGCTGTTTTTATCATAAATGATACTCCATCTTAGGAACATTAATCCCTCAAAGTTGTTTTTGTGACAACGAGCCAAATAGTCCAACAAATTTTCTCCATATTTTGCATAAGTTTTGTTCAACATGGCATCTTCTCTTTGGAGACGTCTTTCGACTTCTTCCATTTCTGGGGCTGGCCGATTTAGGTCCACCATGTTGACTTCAACATTAGGACCATCAGTAATCCTAATATTCTCAAACTTAACCCTGAGACCTTCAGTGGTCTCCAACATTGCAGCATTTGAAACAACATTCTCAGTATTATTGTCTTTGAATTTCTGGTTCATCAGGCCTTTAGTAGCTGGTTGACAGGTTGCTTGTTGCAGAGGACTTCAGTAGCCTTTGTTGCCTTCAAGTTTGGATCAACTTTGTCAATGATCCCCACCGTGTTAATAGAAACTGGTTCGATGTAGTTTATTTCTGCCATGTTTAGAGGATCAACATATTCCTTCATTTGTAGCTTGGTTTTATCACCAAACTTCATCCTTCCTTCTTTGATGGTATTTTGAATCAGATCCCTGAAAAGG